CTCTATACTCACAAATTCAACAAATGAGAAAAGTGGACTAATTCCTTAAAAGACACAAACTACCAAGACTCACAAGCTAAAGAGACAATATAATAAGTCCTATGTCTATTAATTAATATTTTCTCAAGGAGAGAAGGAAGAAAGAAAAAGAAAAAGAAAGGAAGGAAGGAAGAAATAGAGAGAGAGGAAAGGAGAGAGGGAGAGAGAGGGAGGGAGGGAAGAAGGAAGAAAGGAAGGAAGGAAAGAAAGAAGGGAGAAGAGAGGAAGGAAGGAAGGGAGGAAGGGAGAGAAAGAGGGAAACAAATTCCAGGTCCATTTTTTCCTTAGTGAATTCTACCAAACATTTAAGGAAGAAATAATACTAATTCTACACAGGCTTTTCAACTCATTTCATGAGGCTATTACACTTTAGTACCAAACAAAAGAAAATAAAACACAATTACAACAGAAGATTAAAGGAGCAAACCCCGCGGATATAAGCACAACAATACTCAATAAATGTTGGCAAAGCAATTACAGCAATATATGAAAAGGATGATACATCACAACCAAGTGAGATTCTCTTCAGGAATGCAAAGTTCTTTGAACATTGGGAAAAATCAATAATTGTAACACATGGGATTAGCAGATGCACTAAGAAATGTAAATATGTATTCAATACATATTTCAATAATATGTATTCAGTATAAAAACACTTTCAGGAAAATAAAAATAGAACTCCCTTAACCTAATGAACATCATTCATATTAACAAATAAAAACCCTACAGCTAATATCATTCTTAATCATGAAAGAGTAAATGATTTCACCTAACATCAAGAACAAGACAAAAATATCCTCTTTCACCACTCTATAATACATGCTACTTGAAGTCCTAGTTTATGCAATAAGACAAGAATTATATATATATGTATATGTATACTTACTGTGCACACATGGCATTTCCACTCTGAGTTCAAACAGACACCTTAAATCTCACAATTCTGTTTCTGAGCTCTTTTTTTTTTTTTTAAAGATTTTTTAAACATTTTATTTGACAGAGAGAACATAAGCAGGGGGAGCAACAGGCAGAGGAAGAGGGAGAAGCAGACTCCATGCTGAGCAGGGAGCCTGACTGCGGGCCCAATCCCAGGACCCTGGGGTAATGACCTGAGCTGAAGGCAGATGCTTAACCAACTGAGCCACCCAGTCGTCCCTGTTTCTGAGCTTTTGATTCTTCACTCTGTTTCACCCTTACCCCCAGGGTCACTCTCCTATAGGCTTCCCCATCTCCTTGAATGGCACTTCCTTTCACTCAGTTGCTCAGGACAAACCCACCGTGTGATTCTTATATCCTCCCTCTGATATCTTCCTCCAGCTAGTCAACAAATCCAGAAGATCTCTCTTCAAAATCCATACTGAGTCTGGTCTCTTCTCACACCCTCTGTTGCTCTTGCTTTTGCCCAATCTACTGCCATCTCTCACATGTACATGTACACCTTTATGTGCATTAAGCCTGCCTCATTGGCCCCATGGTCGTCTGTCTGCCAAACTCCTTCCAAAGCCTAAATTAGATCATGTCCTCCTTTCAGTGATTTCCATCATAGTTAGAATAAATTCTGAAGCAAATACTACATCCTCTAGTGTCCTACATCACTTGTTCTCTGATTACTTCCATAATTTTCTCTCTTACCACTCTCCCATTGTGCACACTACTGCATACTGCACCCCCAGGTAATCAGTGGACATGACAAGCTCCTTGCATTTTCATGGACTTAGCATTTGCTAAGCGTGTCCAGCTGTGGCACTCTTTCTACATATATGCACATTTTGTGTCTCTGCTTAACTCTCAGGTCTTCAGAGAAAACTTCCCTAAATACCAATTTGAAATGTCCTCCCTTTCCACTTACACTTTTTTATTCTTCTTCATAGCACCAGCACAACATTACATTATGTTACCTATTAATTTCTCCACTATGTCTTGTATTTCTCTCCTATGAAGTAAAGCTCAATGTGGGCAGGGACTTGCTTCTTTTTATTCCAGGCAATATCCCTAATGTTCTTTGGAAAGTACTCAGGCAATGGGCAAGGGCTGTTGAAGGAGCCCTAGATTTTCACATGTTGTGTCTATTCAATTAATGCTGAATGAACAAGTAAAAAAATGAATGAATGAAGAGGATGGGACCAGATCATAAGCCAAAGCCCATGACCATAACAATCTCACCATACCTCTCCTTGGTAAAATTTCTATTCTTCATTGTGTAGAGTAGCAACATTTCTTCTTAACTTTTCTCAGATTAGCACACAGCTGGTATTGTTGTTGTTGTTGTTTTTGTTGCTTTGATTTATAAAGTCTTATTATTCTCAGGGAATCATCTAAGTTGTGCAGCATCTGAGCTGAGATCAAGGTATTAGATACATTGTGATCCAGACAAGAATGTTCAAATGTGGATAGGGATGCAACTGGGGCTTTGGTTAGAACACTCTAAGTAAAGGCCACAAAAAGCAATTGATGAAAAGAGAGTCTGGTGTCCAATCCCACTTTCCCCATTACCCAGCTTTGTGTCATTGGGCAAATGACTCAACAATCTGGGCTGCATTTGAAAAAAGTGGGTGTAAAAGTGCCATACCTCATCTTGTTATGAGAGTCAAATATGATAACATTAGCCTGCCCACAATTAGATTTCAATAAATATTCTGTGTTTACAATTACAGAAGAAAAGTCATCCCAACAAAGATCACTAAAGTTTACCTCCCTGCTGAGGTGCCTGGATGGCTCAGTTGGTTAAACATCTGCCTTTAGCTCAGGTCATGATCTCAGGGTCCTGGTATTGAGAGCCATGTCAGGCTCCCTGATCAGCCTCCCTGCTCAACGAGGAATCTGCTTCTCCCTCTCCTTCTGATCCTCCTCCCCCTTATTCTCTCTCTCTCTCTTTCTCTGTCTCAAATAAATAAAATCTTAAAAATAGTTTACCTCCCCCTTTCTTGATTATGACTCCCAGGAAGTGATTTCATTTTTCCCTTGCTATGTTGACTTAGGACTGCTACAATAAGAGAAAGAGGCCCTGCTGACCTGGGAGCTGGACTTTTCACATCACCTGCTCCAAAAATGTCCTATTTCAGAGAACCAACATGTCATCTCAAAGCCCCTGAACTGGACAGAATTAGGACATGGGCTGTACTACCACTGACCCACCTGGTAAGAAGACTGCAGTATGCATTCACACAGGAGCAAAAAGATCAAGTGTGAGGGGTTTACCTTTTCCATCAACACAAAATCTCTGGTGATCCAAGTCACTACCTCCAAATTTAGGTCAGGAAAAGGAGTTGTTTTGTTTTCAAGGGAGGTCACAATGAGAACAAAAAGTTAAGGCATAGAGAAATGGTATTGAGAGCTGACGAATGATAGGGCTCACCCAGATGCATAAAGTGACAACCAATCATCACAGCACCTCCTGGAGGAACTTCAGAAGTCCCCAGACAGAAATTGACTGAGTCTTGCACAGTGACATTAGAAGCACTCAAAATTGTTCACAGTCATTGATTGGCTGGGCTCACAGGTCTTGGATTGCAGACCCCTCACAGATCTATCTCCTATTAAAATGGGAGTGCTTGAACCTTTCTCTCTACCCTAACACCTCTCTACCCTCTTAATATCTCCTTCTTTCACACTTTGCACTTCCAGGAGAATCTTTTATTCCTTTCATGAATGCCAGCCAGGCACATGAACACTCTTGTTAACCTTGGGATGAGTCTGATAAAACCAAAGAACTAAAACTTATTCCCCTACTTCCACCTTCTTCTGAGTTCTTCCTTCCCACAGCAAAAGATTTATTTTCCTGTCTCATCTGGGGAAAAAAAGAACTTTAAAATAAACCCCACAGCTGTAAGTATTTGATAACTCTGCTCTAATCACAAGAGTGATTAGAGGCCCTAAGAAGACCCTTTGGAATTGTCATCTTCTGTCTTAATTTAAGGCCACTGAATTGGAAAGAAAAGGCCCAGGGAATCTTGAGAAATTTCTGACTTCTAGAGGAGGGCAAGGTTGTATAAGACCAGTGCCAGCCACATTAGGTTGATTAAATGAAAAAAAAGAATATTTCCTCAGTGCCCATGCTCTTTGGGATCTGGTGGCAAGACAGTAAGCAACCTGGGCCTGCTAGTGTAAATTTTGCTCTGGGAATGCATATCAAAATCTAAGGCAAAAACATTTTTAAATGCAATGTGGCCATACAAGAAGGTCAAGAGCTCCTTCTCTTTGAATATTTCACATATCTTTTGCATGAGGCAGCACAAGCAATCATTTATCCCTTATTGACTCTCTTCTGCCCCCCTGCAGACCTCTACTGAGCAGTAGGGGAGCAAGGAGTAGTCAGGAAATTATGGACTCCCCTTTACATCTGTGCCCTTCTATCTCTGGGGTAAACCTTCAGAGTAATAAGGGGTCTGAGGGACAGCCTCCTCCATGTACATCTGTTACACCATAAAGCATCTACCCTATACCAGTGATGGGAAAGAAGTGGGAAAATCTTAATTACAATAATAGCAGGAATAACAATCCTTGAGCCTTGAGGCATATATTTTTAATTTTTTTGGTCCCATTTCACAAGTTTGATGTGGAAATTTGAGTGAAACCAAAACACATTATTCCTCCAAATTGCCTAATTGAGTTCATCTTTGCTTTCCAGTCTCTTTACTATTTCACCGTCACTTTCTCATATCTCCTGTCCCTCATTGTCCTATTCACAGGTCTCTCATCCCATCTAATGTTTGTAAAGTCTTAGAAATACAAACCCTGACTTTGTTCCTTTCCCTGTGTTCTCCTGTAGTACCTGAAAATATGACATCCCAGAACATTTCCCTAATCCTCTTTCAACTTCCTCCTCCCTGCTGGGGTGCCCTACTACACACTACAGTATTCACTTAGATATTTCCCTGACTTGTGCATTTCTCTTGGTTTTGTGAGGAGGGTATTGATATGAGGCTTGGGGAAAATCATTCATAAAAAAAATGACAGTTATATTGATTGTACCAAATGTTTATTAACTGAGTAAAAGAAGCAAATGTAAGCTACCTTATAACACATGGAGATTAATGAAAACTATGGGGTGCATTTCTGTCATAATTTCAGCAAAATAGCCTAAGGAGTGCAGAAAGAAGTCATGGTCCCTTTTGCATAGCAGTGGAGTATCAATATGGAGCAATGCTTTTGTCCAATGGAGAGACACTCTCGTTACCTTAGGAAAGATCTGGTCTTGGTGGTGGGTGGAAGAGGACTCCACTCCCACCTACAGAACCCAAGACCTGAGGCCCATTTGTTATTCAGTTAGGCAGTCTGACCCATCTCTCTGGCATCTTCTAAGACTTATGCTCTCTAAAGTCTTATGCAAGAGAATTTTAGCATCATCAGCGACTGTATTGATGAATTTCAAATGTAGAAAGTAGGTTTTCAAAAACTGGAAGGCAGTGGATGGCAGGCTTCCATTTACTGAGCAATAGCATTCAACACACTTCATGGCCCTGGCTGCTATGCTTTCATCCTTCACAAGTAACCAGAAATTCAAGGACTTGGTGAAACTCTTGATCTTCTCCACAGACATGCCCAGTTTCTTTGCAATCTCTTTGACTGAATTCTCATCCAAACCAAAATGGCTCTGGTAAAGGTTCAAGCACTTTTCCTGCTGGGGCAAATCAAAGCCATTAAAGCAGGCCATGAAGGGGATGAAGCTCAAAGCAGATGATTTCAGGGCATCCAGCCAGATCATCTCCTTGAGGAAAGCTCTCTTCACCTCAATGGAAGCATCAGACAAATTGGGCAACAGGAGTACAAAGGTGTAGCGCTTATGAAAAGGGAGCTCCTTCAGCAGAGTCTCTTCCAGTATTGGGAAATCAAAGTCATCCAGGTCAAAGTTGGAGACCAAGAAGATGCATGGCTCAGGCACTCCAATGTGGCTGAGATTAGCCAGGCAGTTGTCACGTATCCGCTGAAGCACTCTCTCCCTTTTGAAAGATGTGGGTTTGCTTTTCTCTTCATTATATAAATCATTGTCTACCTTGGTTCTAACAAAGTAGAACTTCTTGCCTATCTCTTTGATATTTTGGGCCAGCAAAGCATCATTGAGGCTAAACCGACAGGAAGAAATAATGATGAAAAAGTCATAGGTAGCAAATTCCACCATTTCTAGATATTCATGTGGATGGAAATTGGGGGTTCCAGTTCCAGGCAGGTCCCAGAAGGTCACATTAGGATATTTGGGATGTTGATAGGGCGTTTTCTTCATGGTAGTCTCCACAACGCCAACACTCGCAGAACCCTCCTCTTCATAACTAAGTCCTCGCAGGGCATTGATGAAACTGGACTTCCCAGTGCCAGATTCCCCAATCACAGCCACATCCAGGGGAGCATTCTCTGCTGCCATAAGTAATTCCTCAATTATGTCAGCCACATCTTTTAGCTTGGCCTCTTTAAGGGCTCCTTGAATTCTATCAAGATTTTCTGGAGAGATGATCCCCCCTACCTTACTGACTAATGTGGTGTAGTAAGGGACAAAGTTGGTGGCCAATTGTTGAAAATTCTTTCCTTCCAGGAAGTCAGATATGAACTGATCCATGCTGGTTAACTGTGGACCATCTGTGGAAAAAGGAAAGTGAATTAGGAAGACAAATGGAGCAGCAGAATGGACACAGTGTCAAGCTGAGGAAACACACAGGTCTCAACAGCCCATTCCCATTCTCTCACACTTACTAATGTTACTCTCATGTATTTTTCCTGATGAATTTTGTTTTCATGCTACAGTAGAAAATAATTGTTGTCTACTCTGATGTTTCCTATGTTACAAGAGTCAGGACCTGTGGAATGGAGAGTAACAGTACTCAAAGATGTTTATATCCTGAACCTCGGAGCCTGTGAATGTGTTACCTTGCATAGCAAAAGGCACTTTGCTGGTATGATGAAGTTCAGGATCTTCAGATGAGAATATTTTCTTGGATTATCCAAATGGGCTCAATATAATCACAGGAGACCTTATAAGAAGGAGACAAGGCCAAATGAAGAAAAGGAGTTGGGATGATGGAGGCAGAGATTGAAGTGAAGATCCAGAAAGATGCAAGAAGGGCCACAAGATAAGGAATTCAGGCAGGTTCCAAAAGCTGAAGAAACAAAGAAGTGGATCGTCTCCTGGAGCCTTCAGAAGGAACCAATCTTGCTGACACCTCTATTTCATTTTATTATTTTATTTTATTTTTAAGTTTTTATTTGCATTCCAGTTAGTTAACATATAGTGTAATATTAATTTCAGGAGTAGAATTTAGTGATTCATCACTTGCATATAACAACCAGTGCTCATCACAAGTGCCCTCCTTAATACCCATTACCCATTGACATCTTGATTTTAGCTCCTCTCAGTTTCATTTTTTAAAAAAGATTTTATTATTTGACAGAGAGATAGAGCCAGAGAGCACAAACAGAGGGAATGACGGAAGGAGAGGGAGAAGCAGGCTCTGCACTGAGCAGGGAACCCAATGTGGGATTTGATCCCAGGACTCTGGGATCATGACTTGAGCTGAAGGCAGAAGCTTAGCCATCTGAACCATCCAGGCGCCCCTTAAGATTAATTTTTGATGGGGCCCAGCTCCTAGGTCAACTGGCCATCACGTCTTCTTGATGACCTCCTCCAACAGTATGTCACAGTCCCAGCCCCTCCCCCCCACATGACTATACTTGAAGGTGGGACCTCTGAGGAAGGGATTAAGGATAAATGAGGCCATAGGTTGGGGTTCTGATCCTTCAGGATTAGTGTCCTAGTAAGAAGAGACCCCAGAGCCAAGCTTGCTGTCCGCCCTGTGAGGACACAGCCAAAGGATTGCCAGCCACAAGCCAGGAGAGCTCTTCCAGAAACCTGCCCTGCCCTCCCAGGATCAGCGCTTTCTAGCCTCCAGAACTAGGGACTTTTCCAAAGATGGTAGAGGAGTAGGGGGACCTTATTTCAACCTGAATTTAGCTGGATATCTACTAAACCATTCTGAACACCCACGATATCAGCCTGAGATGTAAGAATATATATCTTGATCTCTACAAAGAGATTATCTCCGGTGGTCTCAAGGTATGAAGCTCAGAGCCGAGATTCTGCGGGCAGATATCGGATGATAAACAGAAGGGGGAGGGAGCCTCCATAAGCTGGCACCGGGAAGGTGATATAACACCAGAGTGCAAAAGCGTCCTGTGCTGAGTACTGGGCACAACTCCCAGACTGGTAGCGGTGGGGAAAGAACTTTAATCCAGCCCCCAGACAGGATCCAGGAGCTGTGGGTGCATACGTGAACCAGGGTTGGCTTGCAGTTTTAAAAACACAAAGGGCAGAGACATGCCCAGCCCTGGGATCGCCCTCTGGGAGTGTTGCTGTGGGGTGCACAACCAGGGAGGCTGTGGTTTTTAACAGCACAGACAGAAATGGAGACTGTGTGTCCTGGAGAGCTCAGTGAAGAGCAGACTGTGATTTCTCTGTTCTGAGACAGAGGTTTGGATGAGTTCAGTTTTGTCTGACTCTCGGAAGAGACAAGAAGAAAGCCACCAGGGAAAGCCACCAGAGAACAAAAGTCCCCAAAAAACGGTTTTCACTGAGCCCATCCCCTACTCCACAGGGGGCAGGGCAACTGCCTAAACAGGGTTGCCTGAGTAACAGCACCGCAGGCCCCTCCCCCAGAAGACAGGCTGGAGGAACAAGAGGCCTACAACCCTAAGGTCCCTATAAAACAGGTACATCTTGCTTGGGTCGTGGTTAATACTTTGGACTCTGTACATTCCCTCAACGATCCCTGCAACAGAATGAGTAAGAGGAGGAATGCCCACGAAAGAAAAGAACCAGAAACTGTTGCCTCTGCCACAGACCTAATGGGTACAGGTATAAGCAAGATGTCAGAGATAAACTTAAGAGTAACAATTATGAAGTTGATATCTAGGCTTCAGAAAAATATTAGGACAATATAGAATCTCTAAGGGCAGAAATGAGATCAAATCAGGCTGAACTTAAAAATGTTATGAATACAATGCTGTCTAAACTGCATACTCAGAATGCCAGGGTAAACAAGGCAGAAGAATGAATTAGTGAGGTAGAAGGTAAGATGATAGAAAAGAAGGAAACCAAGGAGCCATGGGAAAAACAGATTAAAGCCCAAGGGATCAAACTGAGGGAGATTAATGACTCAATGAAATGTTCCAATATCAGAAATATTGGGATCCCTGGGGGGTTGGAGAGAGAAAGAGGTCTAGAAGATATATTTGAGCAAATTGTAGCTGAGAACTTCCCTAATCTGGGGAATGAAACAAACATTTATGTCTTAGAGGCAGAGAGGAACCCTCCCAAGATCAAGGAAAACAGGCCAACACCACTGCATGTAATAGTAAAACTTGCAAATCTTAGAACCAAGGAAACCATTTTAAGGGCAGGTAGGGGGAAGAGATTCCTTACATACAGAGGGAGGAACATCAGAATAATGTCAGACTTATCCACAGCGACCTGGCAAGCCAGAAAGGCCTGGCAAGACATAATCAGGTTACTAAATGCGAAGAATATGCAGCCAAGGATACTTTAGCCAGCAAGGCTGTCACTCAGATGGATGGAGAGACAAGGAGCTTCCAGACTGACAGAAACTAAAAGAATATGTGACCACCAAGCCGGCCCTGCAAGAAATATTAAGGGGGGTTTTGTAAAAGGAGAAAGACCCCAAGAGTGATATAGAACAGAAATTTACAGAGACAATCTATAGAAACAAGGACTTCACAGGCAATATGATGACAATAAAATCATCTTTCAATAATCATTCTCAATGTGAACAGCCTAAATGCTCCCATGAAATAGCACAGGGCTGCAGATTGGATAAAAACACAGGACCTATCCATATGCCATCTACCAGAGACTAATTTTGAAACTAAAGATACATCCAGACTGAAAATGAAGGGATGGAGAATAATTTTTCATGCCAACAGACCTCAAAAGAAAGCTGGAGTAGCAATTCTCATATCGGACAAATTAGATTTTAAGCTAAAGACTGTAGTAAGAGACACAGAAGAACACTATATCTTTCTTAAAGGGTCTATCCAACAAGAGGACTTAACAATTGTATATATCTATGCCCCCAACATGGGAGCAGCCAACTACATAAGCCAACTGTTAACCAAAATAAAGAAACATATTAATAATAATACTTTAATAGTAGGAGACCTCAACACTCCACTCTCAGCAATAGACAGATCATCTAAGCTGAAGATCAACAAAGAAACAAGAGCTTTAAATGACACACTGGACCAGATGGACTTCATAGATATATACAGAACATTCCACTCTAAAACAACAGAATACTCATTCTTCTCGAATGCACATGGAACTTTTTCCAGAATAGCCCACATACTGGGTCACAAAGCAGGTCTTAGCTGATACCAAAAGACTGAGATTATCCCCTGCATATTCTCAGACCACAATGTTTTGAAACTGGACCTTAATCACAAGAAAAAATTTGGAAGAAATTTGAACACTTGGAAGCTAAAGACCACTCTGCTCAAGAATGTTTGGGTCAACCAGGAAATTAAAGAAGAACTTAAACAGTTCATGGAAACCAATGAAAATGAAAACACATCAGTCCAAAAGCTATGGGATACAGCAAAGGCAGTCCTGAGGGGGAAATACATAGCTATCCAAGCCTCACTCAAAAAAATAGAAAAATCCCAAATACACAAACTAACTTTACACTTATTTATTTTTAAACATTTAAAAAAAAAGATTTTATTTATTTGACAGAGAGAGAGACAACAAGAGAGGGAACACAAGCAGGGGGCAGTGAGAGAGGGAGAAGCAGGCCTCCCGCTGAGCAGAGAGCCCAATGCAGGGCTCGATCCCAGGACCCTGGGATCATGACCTGATTAAAGGCAGAAGCTTAACAACTGAGCCACCCAGGCACCCCTAACTTTACACTTTAAAGAACTGGAGAAAGAACAACAAATAAAGCCTAAGCCAAGCAGGAGAAGAGAAATAATTAAGATTAGAGCAGAGATCAATGAATTAAAAACCAGAAATACAGTAGAGCAAATCAATGAAACTAGAAGCTGGTTCTTTGAAAAAATTAGTAAGATTGATAAACCACTGGCCAGACTTATCCAAAAGAAAAGAGAAAGGACCCAGATTAATAAAATTATGAATGAAGGGGAGAGATCACAACTAACACCAAGGAAATAGAAACAATTATTAGAAATTATTATCAAAAACCATGCCAATAAATTAAGCAACCTGGAAGAAAAGGATGCCTTCATGGAAACCTATAAGATACCAAGACTGAAGCAGGCAGAAATTCACAATCTGAATAGACCAATAACCAGTAACGAAATTGAAGCAGTGATCAAAAATCTTCCAAAAAACAAGAGTCCAGGGCTTGATGGATTCCAGGGGAATTCTACCAAACATTTAAAGAGGAAAAAATAACTGTTCTCCTGAAGTTGTTTCAAAAAATAGAAATTGAAGGAAAACTTCCAAATTCATTCTATGAGGTCAGCATTACCTTGATCCCAAAGCCAGGCAAGGACCTCATCAAAAAGGAGAATTTCAAACCAATATCCCTGATGAATATGTATGCCAAAATTCTCACCTAGTCAAAAGGATCCAACAGTACATTAAATGTATTATCCATGGCGCCTGGGTGGCTCAGTTGGTTAAGCAACTGCCTTCGGCTCGGGTCATGATCCCAGAGTCCCGGGATCGAGTCCCACGTCGGGCTCCCTGCCTGCTCAGCGGGGAGTCTGCTTCTCCCTCTGACCCTCTTCCCTCTCGTGCTCTCTCTCTCTCTCTTAAATAAATAAATAAAATCTTTAAAAAAAATGTATTATCCATCCATGGGGCGTCTGGGTGTCTCAGTCGGTTGAGCCTCTGCCTTCAGCTCAGGCCATGATCCCAGGGTCCTGGGATCAAGCCCCGCATCAGGCTCCTTGCTCGGTGGAGAGCCTGCTTCTCCCTCTCCCTCTGCCTGCCTCTCTGCCTACCTGTGCTCTCTCTCTGTCAAATAAATAAATAAAATCTTAAAAAAAAATAGATGTATTATCCATCATGACCCTGTGGGATTTATTCCTGGGCTGCAAGGGTGAGTCAACATTTGCAAATCAATCAATGTAATAGAACACATTAATAATAGAAGAGACAAGAGCCATATGATACCCTCAATTGATGAAGAAAAAGCATTTGACAAAATATATCATCCTTTCCTGATTAAAACTCTTCAGAGTGTAGGGATAGAGGGAACATTTCTCATTTTCATAAAAACCATCTATGAAAAGCCCACAGTGAATATTATTCTCAATGGGGAAAAGCTGAGAGCCTTTCCCTTAATATCAGGAACATGTCAAGGATGCCCCACTCTTGCCATTCTTGTTCAACATAGTACTAGAAGTCTTAGCATCAGTAATCAGACAACAAAAAGTAATAAGAGGTATTCAATTGGCAAAGAAGAAGTCAAACTCTCTCTCTTCACAGATGACATGATACTTTATGTGGAAAACCCAAAAGACTCCACCCCTAAATTACTAGAACTCATACAGCAATTCAGCAACATGGCAAGATACAAAATCAATGTACAGAAATCAGTTGCTTTTCTATGCACTAACAATGTAACTGTAGAAAGATAAATTTAGGAATCAATTCCATTTACAATAGCACCAAAAACCATAAAATACCTAGGAATAAACCTAACCAAAGAGGTAAAGATCTATACTCTAGAAACTACAGAACACTCATGAAAGAAATTGAAGACAGAAAAAGATGGAAAAACATTCCATGCTCATGGATTGGAAGAATAAACATTGTGAAAATGTCTATCTTGCCCAGAGCAATCTACACTTTCAATGCCATCCCTACCAAAATACCATTGGCATTTTTCAAGGAGCTGGAACAAACAATCCTAAAATTTTTTGGAACCAGAAAAGACCCAGAATGACCAAGGGAATATTGAAAAAGAAAAACAAAGCTGGCGGCATCACAATACCTGACTTCAAGCTACATTAGAAAGCTGTGATCACCAAGACAGCACAGTTTTGGCACAAAAACAGACATAGAGACCAATGGAACAGAATAGAGAGGCCAGACATGGACCTTTAACTCTATCATCAACTAATCTGACAGATCAGAAAAAAATATCCGTTGGAAAGAAGACAGTCTCTTCAATTAATGGTGCTGGAAAATTGGACAGCTATATATAGAAGAACGAAACTCAAACATTCTCTTACATCATACACAAAGATAAACTCAGAATGGATGAAAAACCTCAATGTGAGACAGAAATCCATCAAAATCCTAGAGGAGAACATAGGCAGTAACCTCTTCAACATTGGCCACAGTGACTTCTTTCAAGACATGTCTCTAAAGGCAAGGGAAACAAAAGCAAAAATGAACTTTTGGGACTTCACAAAGATAAAAAAACTTTTGCACAGCAAAGGAAACAGTCAACAAAACTAAGAAGCAACCTACAGAATGGGAAAAGATATTTGCAAATGATGTTATATTAAAGGGCTGATATCCAAGATCTATAAAGAACTTCTCAAACTCAACACCCAAGAAACAAATAATCCAGTCAAGAAATGGGCAGAAGATATGAACAGACATTTCTCCAAAGAAGACATACAAATGGCTAACAGACATGCGAAAAAAAAAATGCTCCATATCACTAGCCATCAGGGAAATACAAATCAAAACCACAATGAGATACCACCTTACACTAGTTAGAATGGCAAAAATTAACAAAACTGGAAAAAACAAGTGTTGGTGAGGATGTGGAGAAAGGGGACCCCTCTTACACTGTTGGTAGGAAAGCAAGCTGGTATAGCCACTTTGGAAAACAGCATGGAGGTTCCTCAAAAAGTTAAAAATAGAGCTACCCTATGACCCAGCAATTGCACTCCTGGGTATTTACCCCAAAGACACAGATGTAGAGAAAAGAAGAGGCACATGCACTCCAATGTTTATAGCAGCAATGTCCGCAATAGCCAAACTGTGGAAAAAGCCGAGATGCCCTTCAACAGATGAATGGATAAAGATGTAGTTCATATATACAGTGGAATTACTCAGCCATCAGAAAAAATGAATACTCACCATTTGCTTCGACATGGATGGAACTGGAGGGGATTATGCTAAGTGGAATAAGTCAAGCAGAGAAAGACTATCATATGGTTTCACTTATTTGTGGAATATAAGGAATAGCATGGAGGACATTAGGAGAAGGAACAAAAAATGAAGAGGGGGAAAGCAGAGGAAGAGAGGAACCACGAGAGGCTATGGACCCTGGAAAACAAACTGAGGGTTTCAGAGGGGAGGGGGATGGGGGGATGGATTAGCCTGGCGATGGTATTAAGGAGGGCACGTATTGCAATGAGCACTGGGTGTTATATGCAAATAATGAATTATAGAACACTACATCAAAAACTAATGCTGTTTTTATGGTGACTATGGTGACTATGGTTCTATGGTGACTAACATAACATAAATAAAATAAAATACTGAAAGAAAAGAGATTCATTTTTGATAACTTCCCTCTGGAACTATAAGACAATAAATCTGTTATTGCCTTAAGCCGCAAGATTTGTGTTAATATTTTACACAACATTGAGAAACTAATGCAGACAGTCTGCATTTTCCTGAAACCATAATACTGAGCCATACACCTTTCTACTGTGTAGGAGGAATCAATCAGGCCAGCACATTAGAGAGCACAGAATAACAAACATACCTCAGTTCACATAACCTACAGCAAATAGGGGCAGGAGTTGCCTTTTGGGAGAGGGAGGGGCCAGAGAAAAGCCTGCCAGTATTGTATGTTCCATAAGGGAGATGGCCAAGCACATAGTCCTGTGGTAATAGTTGCCCCATGGCAGCTTAATGTCTATTTATCTCGCCTCATGGAAGAGTTTGGGTGGGATTTAGAACATGTGACAGGAAGTGGCTGGGGAAGTAAATAAGAGCTCTAATTTTCCCAATTCAATTCTGCACAGTCTTGAAATAGAGATATCTGATTAAATCAATGCAATTCAAGGAAATCATCACTACATTACTGATGGGGCCTCTTTTCATCCACTATCAGTGAGGAAACTTTGATTTTAAAAGTATTTATACACATAAGCCTGTCTCAGGGACTACCAGTGAGCTTTTCAGAGTAGGAGTGTGCTCAGTGCTCATCCCCTTCCTATATGTCCTGCAAAGACAATTTTCAAAAGAGGAAGAATCATGAGTCTCAAAGAAATATAAAATAAACATGTGTTAAAGATTTATTTTTCTGATTACTAATGAAGGAACGAGGCAGATGACTGGTTAAATGGATATTCCCAAAGAAACATTTATAGTTCAAGAATACTGAAATGAATATTAAAATGATGCAACAGTGCTGTATTCTAAGGTGAGGGTGGGAAGTCAGTTGAACCTGTACAGACAGATATTAGCTATATGACTGCTATGGACTGAATGTGTCCTCCACAAAATTCATAAATGATGCATGAGCTCAAAGTTTTGGTATTAGTAGGTGGATTTTGGGGCAGTGCCTTAGTCAAGAGGGCAGAGGGATCATGAATGGATTAATCCCACAGATACTCCAGATTAAGAGATTGAAGAGACTAACTTGCCCATTCTGCCAAGTGAGGTGACACATAAATGTCCACCTTGGAAGCAAGCTCTCACCAAACACTGAAACAAAGATGCCTTGATCTGGGTCTGCCTACCCTCCAGAAGTATGAGAGAAGTATATTTCTGTTTATAAGCCACCCAGTCTGTGGTATTTTACTATAGCCTGAATGGATGGGAAGATATTCCGAACAAAATAATTGTTTTGCATTGCTACCACTTATTAAAATTCACTGAGTTTTGGGGCACCTAGGTGGCTCAGTTGGTTAAGGTCCTGATCTCAGGGTCCTGGGATCGAGCCCCACATTGGGCTCCCTGCTCAGCAGGGAGTCTGCTTCTCCCTCTGCCTGCCTCTTTGCCTACTTGTGCTCTCTCTCTATCTGTCAAATAAATAAATAAATCTTTAATAAAACCATCTTATTGAGTTTTGAAATAGCTCTATGGTATGAAGGGCTAGATTGCATTTAAAGATGACATAGTTTCCAAAGGAGATACCCGGTAAACATTCTGCTCATTCCAATTTTTCTTACAATTTTCTCATTAAAAAAAAAAAAAGAAAAAGAGGCATCTTTAGACTATGGTTCTCTCTTCAAAGAGGATGGCAGGAGCAGCTGGATGAAATCTTACATTTCAACCCATCTTACTTACACCTCAACCCTCCAATCACAAAGCCAATATCCCATCATTGCAAGTACACATTTTTCTCACTCACCAGCTCTGGAAAGAAGAGAGGTTTCTGATGATAGAGTTCAGGAATGTTTCCACTAACACAGCAGAAAGTGCTGTGTGTATTCAAGTACTCCCTGGAGCCCCTGGCACAGGAACAATCCAGAGGCTTATACTCCCTGGGAAATGCAGGCACTGAGTGCTCCTGAAGTCACTGCCCTAAGCAAGGGGCTGGAGAACCTCTGTTCTAACTGGGTGAAGTGTGAAAACAACAGGAAGGATGACAGACTCTGACTTGGGCCCCTCCCTCAGAAAGACTTGGCTGATACTTGTAAGGCCCACACGCACAGGACATGAAAGTGAAACCATTGTTTCTCCACAAAACAAGCAGTTCCAGGAAAAGAAACATGAAGGTTTGTGACCACAGGTGGCTCAGGGAGTGGGGGGGGGAGGGCAGAGAAACACCAGGGGCCATGGGAGGCAGGTCTCCAATGACCCCTGTGTGATCATCTAGCCATGAATCTGATGGGAAGACTGGGACAGGGAAGAAGGCTGTGAGCAAGGTTCCAAAGCTTCCAATGAAAGAGAAGCCTTTCCCGTCAGAAAGGAGAGGAACTATATAATTTCTTTGTCTTTCTGCTTCTTTCATTTTTAGGAGCCCTATTGCTGGCTGCCACATTCTAACACTTAGGCATGGATGACTCTAGCAGGTCATGAGGTAACATCGCATGAACACCTTAATCTTCCAGGAGGCACTCTGAGGAAATTTGACAAGCAGCTTGGAGGGAGAGCCAGAAAGGGAGAAAGGAGTCTGAAATTTTAGATTTATATGGAAGATCAAGAGGAAAATATCAAAGTTCTTTAGAAGAAGAAGAACATAGGAGGATCTGCGGTTATCAGATAAGATTTATTTTGGTGCTATAGTATCTAAGACAGTTGGATGCTGGCACAGGGATAGACCAATTGACCCACAGAAAGGAACACAGAGCCCTGTATAGGATTCAGGCATGTGTGGAGTTCTGTGGCATAGGACAAGTGCATGGGATGTTAGTGGGTATAGAAGGCACCAACTAGAAAATGGAGTTGACAAACTGGTTCTCCATATAGGCAGAGGTTACTGAATCTCTGCTTACATCACTTATGATAATCAACTCCAGATGGATATAAGACCTAAATCTCAAATGGAAACTATAGAAGAAAATATAGCTGTTCATAGAGAAAGATGCCTTAAAAAGATGATACTGTATATAGATACCAAGATGACAGCTGTATAAAACAGACTGACCAATGTGATACCTTTGACTACATTAAAGTGAAAAGCTTCTCTTCATGAAAACAGATGCAAAAAGAAAGTTAAAAATATCCACATATCTGGAGAAGATATTTGCACAAAGGTAGTCAACTGAGGATCTGTGGAAAGAACATATTTAAAAAGTTCCAGAAATCATTAAGAAAAAGTGAAACAATCCCACATGTAAGTGGGTAAAAGACATGAACAGAACTTTCTCAGAAATAGAAACATGTTAGGACAAAAAAAATTAGAGAAAGTACCAGAGATTAACTAGGAATGAGACAAATATACATCTGTGCACTACAATTGACAATGTACATTAATTCAGTCAGAAAAGTTAAAAGTTGGACAAAATCAGGTATTGGTGAGAATGTGGATTGTTACAATCTCTGAAACATGGCTGCTGGGATTGTAACTTAATATAATCACTTTGAAGAAAGAATATGACTGAATCTTACAAAATGGCACATTCATGCACCTTAAACCTCTACAGGTCTTACTTTGGACTGGATGACACATCCCTCGAAACCATGGCCAAGCACTTTAACGTGTCATTGGAGAAACTCAAGGCAAACCTTAAGTCTCCCCATTTGCTATCAGTTGAGAAGGATGATGAGTCATTAGGGGTTAAACTGTTGAGATATGTGGAAAAATTCTGCTCTGTTAGTGGAGGACTCATTGCCACTGGTCTTTACTTTAGGAAGATTTTTCACTTGCAAAATTATTTCCTTGAGACCGTGGTGAGTGATGTGAAAGTTCTTCTTAAAAAAGAAGAGATTTTTAAGGACCCTGTTGAGTCTGAGCAATCCTATCTACTTCAGGATGTCAGGAATGAAAATGGGAAAAATGAGGCAGCCAGCTCCTGAATTATTCTGTGTTGGCATGCACTGTGCCTGGAAAGATGACTTAGGACATCCCTGAAGCAATCCTGACCCACTGCCCTCAAGGTGTTTCACAGACATTTCCATAATTCACTCTTGAACAAACCAAGAACTTAATGACTGTTACTTGACAGTGAGAACAATCAGCTCTAAAGAATCTTTTCATATGATCCTTCCTGGGAAAATGAAGGACAGGAATCTGGAATTTTCTGCTTAGCAGAGAGAATATCTCTTTGTGTGATGGTTACTACATACCAGCACTGGTCTTTCTACTGACCCAGTAGTAAAAAATGTTTGTTCACACAGATCTTCCAAAATGATTTTTTAAATGATTGCATGCATAGTCCATTTTTTGGCATTCCTGTTATTCTGTTGTGAATGCATAAATTCTGATCATTAATAGAGTATCAGTTAATGTTGACTGATATCCTACTTGTCCTTTCTAGGGTTATCATTATATTTAATAAACATTAAGTATAGTGAAGTGAACATGTGTCACAGGAAATGAAAGAGAAACATTAGCTAAGGAAAAAATTTATCTGGGGTACATTGTGAGAGGGAGAAATGTGTAAGATGGAAAAATAGTCCAAGGGTTTGCAAATTGTAGGTCTAGACACCCCTTGGTTGCTAGCAGTATATTTTGTGCCTGAAAATGGAGGTTAGGGAATAAGAGACAAGAGGATTGTCATGAATATAAGTGGAAATTTTTTTTAAAAATGCAAAAGGTCCTTAAACATATCCAATCCTTTGTCTAAGGAGGGAACTACAAATTAGAAATGGCATCTACACTAAGATATCATTTATCCCCTATTAGATTGGGGGAGATTGCAAGTTTGACATTCTGTGGGTGAAACTGTAGAAATATAGAGTTTGTCAGATAACGTTGGTGAGTACACAGTGCATACAGATTAGGCCATCCCTATGAAAACACACCTTTAGACTTTGCCCCAGTGATCCCACTTTGAAGAATCTGGGCCATAAAAACTGAGGGTAGACTGGTGGTTAGCAGGGGATGGAAAGTGGAGGAAATGTGCTTTTGATCTTCCAGTTAGAAGATGAATGTATAGCATGGTGACTATAGTTTATAACACTCTTTTATACTACACAATAAAAATACTTGAAATTGCTAAGAAAGTAGATCCTAAGCATTTTTACACACACACACACACACACACACACACACACACACACACACAGAGTAAATATGTGAAGTGAGGTGATGGATGTATTAATTAACTTGATTGTGGTAATCATTCCACTGCATGTACATATATATCAAATCATCACATTGTACACTTTAAATATATATGATTTGTTTGCCAATTTTACCTAAATAAAGCTGGGGGGGAAGGAATAATAAAGCTGGAAAAATTACAAAAAGATATATGTTAAAAGTTATTAATTATAGCACTATTTGAAATGGTAAAACACAAAATTCAAATGTTCTTCAGTAGAAAATGTTACAGCCACAAAATAGATGACTTGACAACTCTACAAAGGAGTGAGTAATATCCTATATATTGCTATGCTTTCATCTCCAGGATATATCGTTCAATGCAAAAAGTAAGATGGAGAAGTCTATGTATATTATGTTAGTGATGATCTAAGACAATGTAAAGTAAGAATTATATATTTGCACATATTCTTAAATTAAATATGAGACAACTTCAGTGATAAAATTCAATTATGTATTGGGGAAGTGATGGTATTGGGTGGAGAGGCAGTGTAAAGGCTAGATTTTACTTAGTGCAATTTATTTTACACTGGAACATGCAAATGGGTTTTACAAAGCTGTATAACTGTATAATTAAACAAGAAGACCCAACATTTATAAAAATACAAAGCAAATCAAAACAAATTAATCTAAGCTTTGTTCGTATAAGAAAACAATTTATTTCAAGATTTTATTTATTATTTTTAAAATTCCACTGTAATTAACATACAATGTTATATTAGTTTTGGTATACAGTGGTGATTCAACACTTCTGATCATTTCTTGATGCTCACCACAATAAGTGTACTCTTTAATCTCCATCAACTTTTTCACCCCCTGCCCTCCCTTCCTCCCCTCCAGTAACCATCTGTTTGTTCTTCCTAGTTAAGAGTCTTTTTCTCCTTTTGCATCTCTTTTTACCCCCATGATCATTTGTTTTGTCTCTTAAGTTCCATATATGAGTGAAATCATATGGTACTTGTTTTCCTTTGACTTATTTTGCTTAGCATAATACTCTCTAACTCCATCCACATTATTGTAAATGGCAGGATTTCATTCTTTTCATGGTTGAGTAATATTCCATTGTATATACATACCATCTCTTCTTTATCCATTCATGCGGACATGTGGGTTCTTGCCATAATGTGGCTATTGTTGATAATGCTGCTATAAACATTGGGGTGCATGCGCTCCTTTGAATCAGTATGTTTGTATCCTTTGGGTAAATACCTAGTAGTGCAATTGCTGGGTTGTAGGGTAGTTCTATTTTTAACTTTTTGAGGAACCTCCATAGTGTTTTCCAGAGTGGCTGCACCAGTTTGCATTCTCACCAATGGTGTAAGAGGGTTCCCCTTTCTCCACATCCTCACCAACACCTGTCGTTTCTTCTGTTCTTGATTTTAGCCATTCTGACAGGAGTGAGGTGATAACTCATTGTAGTTTTGATTTGCATTTCCCTTGCCCATCCCTTCCATTTGCAATATGCAGTTGTCTTTAGGTCTAAAATGAGTCTCTTGTTGGCATCATATAGATTTTTTTTTTAATCCATTCTGACACCCTATTTCTTTTGATTGGAGCATGTAGTCCACTTACATTCAAAATAATTATTTTTGATACATATTTCATGCCACATTATTACTTGTTTTGTCATTGTTTCTGGAGATTTTCTCTGATCTTTTATGGTCTTTGTCACTTTTGGTCCTTCTTTCCCAAAGAATATCCTTTAATATTTCTTGCAAGGCTGGTTCACTGGTCACAGACTCCTTTAGTTTTTGTTTGTCTGGGAAATGCTTTCTCTCTCCTTCTATCCTGAGCGATAGCCTTGCTGCATAGAATATCCTTGGCTGCAGATTTTTCCCATTCGGCACATTCAATATAGTCTGC